TGTTGAATATGAGGAGTCATTGCTCAGTTGAATTTGATATGCGTGGTACTACACTGATGGAATTTTCAGGAATCATTTTTTTTCTCTGTTGCACACGACCATCTCACTACCCCTTCCACTGAGTGGTGACCATCAATCTCCCTACTCCTTCCAAATTCATGAACACGCCGAGGGTTTTATAAATCATACTTCGCACACCCTCTGGAACATTCAAAACCACAGTTACAGTTACAGTGATCATCTGCACCAGTGAAAAACCGAGATAGTGAAACAGTGACTTTCTGTATTCTTTTATCAATATATACAATGAGAATTTTAAGAATGTCTGCATCAGATCGAGCAAGACTGTCACTTCCTATTGGAAATATTGGTGAACATTCATCTCAGAGTATGTTGGTTCCAAGCATCGCATCTCAAGCTCAAACACTGAAGCGCCCACTCGACTATTCATCGCACAATCAAGAGACAACAGTGATTCGAGAAACAATTGGATGTTTGGAGACAATGAAAAGTTCAAAAGTATTCATCTTCAATGATCGTGAGCTGATGGAGAGCCCATTAACGATCACCATTCCAGAATCATCTGATAGTTCAGACTCAGTTTTCGAATCACCAGAGAGCCCCGAGGTTGAGCTGAGAGAGGCGTTGATGCTAGCACCAATTTCTGACTCACCAGACAGCCCAGAGTTGGAAATTGTAGAAGAAGTAAACCTAACACCAATCCCTGACTCACCGGAGAGCCCAGAGCCTGAGCCAACAGTGGAGTCCATCTCATCATTCATACTCGAGAATCCTATATACCCAGAATTTGGACCGATGACATTGGAGGCATTTGTCGACGATTCCACACCCGCTACGCTTGATGTTGAAGGGGACACATCAGCTCATTCATCACCAACTGGAGTACTCAATACAGAACCGATTGCAGTTGAAAATTCTGAGAATGAGGATGTGAGCCGCGTGTTTGTGCCTCAAACGTGGTTGAATCAGTACACTCCGGAATATCTGGCGACAGTCATTCGTCGGGCTGTAAATGGTTATTTGGAGAGTGGTACATTCTTAACTCTCGCAAATGTTCATACTCAGATGAACATTTGCGGTCATGGACATGTCATTTTCCATCCAGTTCGTCCAACGATTTCAACAACGCTTCTCAAAGGCAAGCTCATCATTTACCCTGTGGTAAGTCCTCACTCATATATCGTCTCCATAATTGTAAAAAACAACGCAACTTTTTCGAATTTTTCTCTCAATTTCTTTTCATATTGAATAATTAGACCCTTCCCTATTTATTTGTTTCAGTTCACACAGACATAAAGTTGATGGATGACTGAAGTTTCGGATATTTCTACTCTAACGGATGATTTTATTTTTTTCAATACCATAATGTAAATATTTTTGATGTTACATTTTTTTCTCTATAAAAGTTTTCACACCCGAGGAATGACATGTATTTCCACGAGAGTATTTGATGAAGAGATTGAATAAAGAAAAGAAAACCAATAAAACATATGCGAATGAGTGTCCTCTGATTCTGAGTGTCATATTGCAAAGCGTCATCTCCTTATCTCCAATGCAGCGCTTGAAACTATCGACATGCATTCTACAGTTATGTTCAACATGAATGTAGGAGAGGGTCGGAGGATATTGAAGGAGTCTAATTCATTCATATATTAAGAGCTCAAGACGTCACAAAATTTGTTGGACCCTGTATGACTCTTCAATTCAATGCTCTGAAGGTAGTGCGGTGCTTAGTATATCCTCAGTCCTACAGTACCGTTTCAAAGAGTCGGTGAGTGTCACTAACGTCGTATTTCGTAACGTGAAAAGTGTGGAAGAATTAGATGGATAGTGTAAGTGTTTATTAAGGAAATTACTCGCTCGTTTAAAGAATAATTCAATTGATTGCACTCTTTCAACGCTAGAATGCTGTAGATTTGATAAAGGCTTCTCAGGATTATCACTATGATGAAATGCATGATGCTTGGCATAGTGGCTGTTGGCAGGAACAAATGCAGAAACAGGATCTGCAAAAGTTTGCCTACTGGGCTCTAATGACAGTTGTTGCAAATGCAGAGGCGAATCAGTGCTATCCTCGTGTATTACTCTCATGCCAGGCTGCACCATTGCAAAACGAAGGTGAATTTTTTATTTAAAGATAGTCAAGTGAGGAGGATAGGAAGGATTCAGAGATAAATTATCTATCAACAATACATGATTGCCATAGATTCTTCAAAATTTCGATAAACTCGGTAGTGGCTATTTCTACGGTATTAAGTTTATGAAAAAAATGTTCGGAAAAAAAAGTTTAGGAAAAAATTCAATCTTCATTCATTCATTTATTCATTCTTTTCAATCATTTATTCTTTTATTATTGTTTCAGCTGAGTCAACACGCATTTAACCCCAGGATAAATTATAATTTTTTGTTCCTGGGATAAATTTGAGTTACTCCCCCTGGTAAAATTTATCCATCGAACATCTAAATTAAAATTTTTTCTTAACTGACGGTTTGGTTACAAGTAGCTGGTGCAACCGGGTCTAACACTTTTGTTTTCTTACTTTTTCAAATTTTTCTTTTTCATGATAGAATGAAAATTCTTTTTCCTGTATGGATAGATCTTTGATAAAGCGGAACGTATTTTTTTTCTCTGGAGAGAGAGAAAATTGAACAGTTCATTAAATTGGAATCACTCGAGTCTCTAACAATATATACCCATTTGAAACGTACTTTTCATCAATTTTTCGTCATTGATACATTCTATTACATTACAAGAAAATTTATACTCTTGAAGAAATATTCCATCCATTCACATAATATCAAAATGTTGCTTTTTACATGTAAAAGGTGAGAGAAAATTGAATGCTTCTTTTGTGTTTCGTTGTAATTTGATGTAATAGCTTGCTTATAGTTCTAGGATTTACCTTGCCATTTATGGGGAGATTGAAAACAGTTCATGATTCGATATTGATAGAACCAGAAGGCCTTATCGACCACCAGGATTATATTCCTATTTCGGATTAACAGAATTGGGTCAGGAGGGTTGATTACCATGCGGACGAATCCATCGTTGTGAAAGAATCGATTAAAAGTACATTTTGATCAATTAGATTGATAAAATTTCTATCTAACATATCATTAACATGCATTTTTCGTGTTTTTTCTCAGCTGACACGTCTTGTACCCCATCAACCAGTTATCAATCTGAAGAAAGTATGCAGACACAGCAATGGAATCTGAACTATCTAGAGTGAGATGTAGCAGATCAAAATGGGGAAACATGATGAAAAAATGTCGTGTTGGGAGACCTAACAAGATAAAACAGCTCCAAGCTCACTTCAAGCAAACATGACTCTGAAAATTCTTATCATTCTTTATGGATATTCATTTTTTTGTATTATTTTTTGAATAAAATTCGCTATTTCTCATATAACATACATATTTCCTTCCCAAATTATTCTGATTACTCAGTTTTGTTCTATTAAAAAATTGATTTAGAATTCATCGGTTTGATTCTCGCAATCACAACTATCTTCCATCCTTGTGAGAGAAAATTCATCATCAGAATGAGAGCAAGAATAACCAGTCGGAGAGAAACAAATCCAATCACCATGCGTTCAAATAGTCGAAATCCTAGAGAACCATTCATATAAATTAGCTTCTTCATAAGTTTTCCAACCATATATGTTTTAAAATAAATACAAGGAACTCGTTTTTAAATTTTGAATGATTTCATCATAATTTTATTATCATGATGCACCAAAAATGTCTATTTTCATTATCATAATATTTTTTGAACATGATTATATCGAGGCTAACTATGTAATTGATGAATGAGTATTGGTCACAAGCTACAGTGAAGTTCAATACATAGTATAATTTGCATTTTTCTTTTGTTTTTTGTTTTTATTAATGCTCATTAAACTGTTATCATTATGGTTAAAAGAGGTGGATATATTCTTTCCGTCATGCTTTACAAAAAAAAAAGTTAAGAATATCTCTATGTCTTATAATTTATTCAATGGTGAATGTACACGGATGCCAAGTTCCCTCACGAAACTGGATGATGATTTTCTGTGACTGGGCAGCTTCCTTGTATCTCTTGAACTCCTCAGGATCCTCCATAAAGGCTTCTGAGACTCGTTTCGATAAGAATACAGTATATTCTACATCCAGTACAACTAAAACTTTAGTTCCATACTTGGTGACAGCGGTTTTGAATCCAGTCACTCTGTACTTCTTCTCCAATGTTAACTCCGCGATTTTCTTCGTAGGTATAAAATCAGTTGCACTAGCAATTTTGTTGATCTTTGAGCAGTCCATTTTTTTTTATTTGGAGTTATTTCTCAATTTTACGAATGAATATATTTTGTACTTTCAATCTTCTTTTCTGAAGAACAATGTTTCAACTATTCTCGAAGCGTATTATTGCTCCAAGGGTTGTTAGCGGAATGATTGCTGAATCGCGTTGGTGGCAGCCTTATAGAGGGCGTCTGTGCGAATGTTTACACTTTATCAAAGCTTCAACCTTGTGAAAGTCACGAAATAAGAGTGCATTCATAGGATGTTTAGTCTATATCAACGTATAATCATCGAATATTCTTAGAAATGTCAACTAAAGGAATTTAATCAGCAATATAACACTTTCATATGAAATTAAGAGGTGTTATCACGAAAGATAATGTCAACTCTCCGACCCACCCCTAAGCATTGGAACGGCTCGACTTTCATCTTATCTTAAACCCTTGTTTGAGATAATTCGTGAAACTTATCATGACACCCACTGATGTTTATGTGAAGCAAAACAATAGGGTGTTCTCACCCTCATGCACAATTTCATGATTGGAAATTCTTAGAATTGATGATACGTTGAAAATTCCATTCACACAGTCCTGATATTTCATTATTATCATGATTATAAAAATTGTGTATAAAATGGACTGCGCATTCCACAGCTCATCAGTTCGACATCGATATCTGCATAGTGCTCCGATGAAAAAATGGAGACGTGTGCTAGGGTGATCGAGATTTTGGATTATGGGTATAAGAATGCCCCCTATCAACAATTAGAGCAATGGATCAGGTGGTGCGCCCACTATATCAAGCTGTACACTAAAGTTTTAAAGAGGGTAGTTCTCTCTACAGGTGAAAGAAATAAAATTCAAGCCCAAGTTGCATTGATACAGTACTACCATGAGCGATTCAAGGATAAAAGGCGTCGAGGGGGTAGGCTGCACTCATCATCATTGCGTAGAGGGACCAGAAGAGATCGGATACGCTGGATGGATTCACAGTCTGTCTTCCGAGGAAGAATAAGCAGTGGCACTATAGTGAACCTCAGGCATACAGATCTGGAGAAGTTTTTGAGGAATGCACAGAAACTCACTAATTCACGGATAAAGCATATTCTTGGGAATGAAGGGAACATCAAAGTCAACAGTATACTGGCTTGCAAGTTTCAAATGAAGAAAAGTGAGATTATTTCAGAAGAGACAAAGTATTTTAATACGAGAAATGAAATAATTCTACCAAGCACAGATCTTGAGATATGGTTCCAAGAAAAAGTGATCGATCGGTTATTGGAAAAAGTTGAAGATTTTCAAGAAGGTGATTCCGGCTGGACACTGACTGAAATTATTAATTTAGTAATATGTGTTAATCATTATATACCATTATCTGCTGGTTTATCGATCTATGTGGAGTTACCTTATGATATTCAACGTAAAAAATCTGTCGTGAATGTCAAGAATATCGATGAATTCTGTTTTTTATGGTCAGTCGTAGCTGCTCTATTCCCAGCTCAGAGTAACAAGTGTATAATCAGCTCATATCCACATTACGCCGCAGCCAGATTACCACACACTAACAAGAAATTGGAATATAAGGATCTATGTTTTCCATTAGCATTGAATGATGTCCCAAAGTTCGAAAAAAAGAATGGATTGTCTATCAACGTGTATGGAATCGAGGATGGAGATGGAGGAGGCAGTCAAATAGTACCCTTTCACCTTAGCAAGGTTGATTCTAAGAGACCTACGATTCATCTCTTGTTCTTTTGCTCGAGTGTACATGATGATGCTGCTACTCAACCAATTTATCACTTTGCATGGATTCGAGATCTTTCCAGATTAGTTAGTGCTCAAATTTCTCGTCATGCACATCGCACGTGGCTCTGTGATCGATGTTTATGCCATTTTCAAGAGGAACGGTGTTATAGAAATCATAAGCAAGACTGTTTCATTATGAGCAAGTGTAAATCATTACTCCCCAATGAAGGGGAGAATATTTTGAGATTTAAAAATCATAGATTCAAGGAGGTGATGCCATTTGTGATATATGCTGATCTGGAATGTATTCTCGAGCCTTCGAATGGTGATGAAATATTTTATCAAAAACACATTCCACACAGCATTGCCTTCTATTTGCAGTGTTCATTCAATAATAGCTTGTCAAAGTTTGAAATTCAATAAGGTTCGGACTGTATCAAGTGGTTCATAAAGAGATTGCAGAGCATTGGAGTGGTAGTGAATGATTACTTGAATACTATAATACCAATGGAGGAATTGAGTGATGAAAAAATGCGAGACTTTGTGAAAGCTCAAGTTTGTCATATTTGTACTAAATCGTTTACGCCAACAGATGCAAAACATCGTGACCATTGTCACATTACAGGGAAGTATCGTGGTGCTGCACATATTGGATGTAATTTGAATTATAAGAATTCGCATGATATACCAGTGATATTCCACAATCTCTCTGGCTACGACGAACATTTCCTCATACGAGATTTAGCGAAGGAATTTAATGGTTCTGTTGAATTACTCCCAATCAATAAAGAGAAATATATAGCCTTCCGAAAGCATATACCAAAGACTAAAGTCTATCTAAGATTCATTGACCCCTTCAGATTTATAGCAAGCAGTTTGGAAAAATTGGCATCTTATTTGAGTATTTCTGATTTGAAAATTACGCAAGCACAGTGTGATAATAATGATGAAAAACTTGGATTATTGATGAGAAAGGGAGTATTCCCTTATGAATATGTTGATAGCTGGGAGAAATTGGTTGAGGAAGATTTACCATCGGGAGAAGATTTTTATTCAAAGTTGAATAATCAACAAATATCAGAAAAAGATTATGAACATGCGCGTCAAGTTTGGACCACTTTCAATGTTTCAACCTTGGGTGAATATTCAGATTTATATTTAAAAACTGATGTCTTACTTTTGAGTGATGTTTTTGAAAGTTTTCGAAAGAATTGTTACTCTGTGTATAAATTGGATACTCTACATTACTACACTGCTCCTGGACTCGCTTTCGATGCAATGTTGAAGGATACCAATGCTGAAATTGAAATATTCACTGATATTGAGAAACTCTTATTCATTGAGAAAGGTATACGAGGAGGTGTAGCTCAGTGCACAAATCGTTATGCTCATGCCAACAATCGCTACATGAATGAGCAATTCGATTCAAGCAAAGAGGAGTCATACCTGATGTATTATGATATAAATAATTTATATGGAGCAGCTATGAGTGAATACCTACCTTATGGATCATTTGAGTGGGAAAATCCAGAAGCATTCAATGTTTTCAACGTTTCTGATCATTCTCCGATTGGATACATCTTGGAAGTGGACTTGGAATATCCCCTAGAGCTTCATAATCTCCATAAAGATTTACCTTTATACCCGGAACACTTTGTACCTTCCAATCGCAAAAATTCCAAATTGATAACAACACTCTTTCCTAAGAAAGAGTACATCATCCATTATAGGAATTTGAAGCAGTGCTTAAACCTTGGGATGAAACTGACGAAGATTCATCGACTATTAAAATTCAAACAAGAGGCATGGTTGAAACCCTACATTGATCTCAATACAGAAATGCAGAAGAAGTCAACGAATGAGTTTGAGAAAAATTTCTTCAAATTGATGAATAATGCAGTGTTTGGAAAGACTATGGAAAATGTGAGAAAGCAGAAAGATGTGAAATTAATTACTGAATGGAATGGACGGTATGGTGCAAGAGCTCGTATTGCTCAGCCTAATTTTCATAGCAGTATTATTTTTGATGATGATAATGATCTGGTGATAATTCATTTGGATCGGGTGAAAATTACATTCAATAAACCAATTTACATTGGATTTGCGATTTTAGATTTATCGAAGACTATCATCTATAATTTCCATTACAACTATGTGAAGCAAGTGTTTGGTGATGATTCAAAATTGATGTACACTGATACAGATAGTCTATTATATTACTTTACTGTACCTGATATATACGAGTGCATTAAGCGAGATATTGCGAAATTTGATACGTATGATTATCCCGAGAGAAATGTATATGGAATACCAAGAGTGAATAAGAAAATGGTAGGATTAATGAATGATGAATGTGGTGGTAAAATTATGACTGATTTTATAGGTCTGCGCGCCAAACTCTATACTTTTAAAGTCATGGGTGAAGTGAAAGAGAAGAAACGAGCGAAAGGTGTGAAGGGTTCCACGTTGAGAACAATCACTTTCGATGTTTATGAAAATTGTCATCTTAAACAAGAAAATTTAGTGAAGGAGCAATATTTCATTCAAAGCAAGAAGCACAATGTTTTCACCATTAAACAGAGTAAGTTGGCGCTCAGTTCTAACGATGATAAAAGGATTCTGTTGCCTGGTGTAACAGATACTCTCCCTTACAGATATTGCAAATAAAAACACATTTTCAAAACTTTCATTGCATTGGTCTTTTTATTTCGTAGAAAATGGAAAAGTTACAACTTGTCAGTATCTATCCAACTGTTATGTGTACTGTCGAAGCCCAAACATTTCACATACTCCTTATTATCCTTCTTCTTAATTATTTTTTCCACTAGGTAGACGTCTGGATATTGCACCTTGATGAGTTCTTCTTGATAAAAGCCACCTGCAACTGGGTCATTTATAATCAATCAGTTCATACGTCACGGGATTTGTATTCCGCACCTTGCTGATTGTAAAAATCTCAGTACTCCAGTTGGGTGTATATCCTTTCTCAAATATGGTTTTATATTTGCTGATTCGTACTTTATCCTTAACTTTAAATTTAATTATTCTCATTCGATGTGTTGAGAGTTTTTTATATGCACGTCTTAATAGATGCTTCTCATTCTTGATGGTAACATCCTTAGGTTTCATCTTGATAGTTCTATGTATAGTACCATTGTATGCTGATACTAAATCGTCTACGATATTAATCCACTTGTAAATTCCAGACAAAGAAAATTGCTTCCACATTTTATTTTTCAGGATGCGATTAAAGCGCTCACATATGGATGCTTTGAGACTACTAAAGGTTGAGTACATTGATATATCATAATCTTTCATTAGAGATTGAAAACTTTTATTATAAAACTCTTTGCCTTGATCTACGTGTAACTTTTTAGGTATTCGCCCATTCTTCAAAATGAGATTCATAGCTCGTGTTACATCTGTACCACTCTTTGTCTTGGTTGGCACCGCCCAAGCGTACTTAGAGAATATATCTATGACCGTTAGGAGATATTTATAACCTTTATTAGTATCAGCGTAAGCTCCCATCTCTACAAAATCAGCTTGCCACGTTTCATCCAAACCACGGATATCAACATGACGGCGGGGGTAATTCCTTCGAGCTGGTTTATGAAGCTCCTCCACTATTCTCACTTTCTTTGGATCCATCTGGTTGTTCTTCCTTTGGTGTGTTTGTCTTCTTCCTCTGTTTTCTTTTCAACTTCGCTGCCTCTGTTTGAACAATAAGCGCTGAGACTTGAGATTGTAGATTATTAAGAGGAATCTCTACAGTCTCTCTGAAGGAGATGATATCGGTGCTTATGGATTTGATGTCTTCCTTGATATATTTTTTCAAAACTTTCATAGAAATAGCATCTAATTCGTGCTCTGCATCAGCTAAATTGCATAATCTCTTGCTACTTATATCATAGTATCCATCATCGGTGCGTTTGAAACCATCACCTGGAGGACCTCGTCTCCCAACAGCAACATTTTTGCTGCGGCTGCTGCCAAATTGTCATCCAAATACATCAACGCTCATGTTTCAACTGATGATGTCTTCAATGCGCAGAAACTAATATATGATTTCTGCCTCACGTAACTCTTCAATGATTGAAAAAATTTCGTTGATATGACTAGTATTACCAGCAGCTTGAGAGGCCATTAGTAAACGTAATCTATCCACTAATTCATTTGGATCATCCCAGTAAACATAATCCATTTTTCTATTCAATTTCCTCGGAGCAAGCATATGTGGACGTCCGCATGAAAAGGGACCACTTTGGCACTATTGGAGTTATGTATATTCCCATAATTTTGATCTGATTCTGAACATTTAGAGCCCAGAATGAACTTGATAGCGTAAAGAGTGACGACGCTAAAGAAGATCGAAAAAATAATTTAAAATGGGTTTAAATGGGAGTCGGCAAGAGAAAAACGTGACTATCTCGGAAACTAGAATCGACAAAGTGGTCCCTTTTCATGCGGACGTCCACATATATTTAGGTAGAAGAGCTGTACCAACTTTCCGTGGTGATGTTGATGTGAGTAACGGTGTAATAATGTTCATATATTTCAAATGTTTGGGTTTTTTTTTATAGGCTTGTCAGGTAAATAGAAAGATCGATGCGCATTTGTGCTTAGTATAATTTGACAATAATTTTCTCTATCAGTTGGAGTGACATGCATTGTTTTAGGCGACTTCTCGAATATCAATGTTGCTAGGCCTGGTGTCAACTCATATTCTTTATTCTTCAGAAGTATTGTATTTCCATGGAAAGTCAGTTCGGAATTTCCTATCTTCGTCTCCTTCTTTCATTGACGAACGCCAAATTCAGTATCCAGATCATTTTCTTCAGGTGTTCCAAATTTTTTGAGGTAGACTTGTGCTAGAGGTCCAATATCAGATATATTATAACCATCAGAAAGTGTCTCATCTAGTGAATCAACTTGTGAAACATGATGTTGAAATTGATCATTTCCAAACGATGAATCGATAGAATGATTCATCGAAGATCGTGATGGTGAGGAGTCACGTTGCTTTGGAGTGCTTGTGGAAACTGTATGCAGATAATCTTCATGATTTACGGCTGTCCCAAACTCATCGTCATCATCATCATCATCGCTTCCTTCGCTATTTTCACTATTCACCTTTAGACTGAAAGGCCTCGTCATTCTTCTCGATTTTGTTCTCTTCTTTCTCAGGGTTTCAGATTGTACTTCCCCCTTACTCACCAATTTTTCGAGAAGAGTAATCACTGGGTTCAATACTTCATTAATAGCGTGTTCAGCAGCATCTATACCCAGTTTCATCATTTTATGTTTAAGACGAATTGCTTCACTTGCCAAAGCAATATGATGCAAAACGTCGGACTCTTTCCTTAATTCCTTCTGATGCATGTTGATAGGTACGCATTCAGATGCACACTGGTCCCTATTTCAATTATCATTCCCTATTTATGAAGCAAACAAAACCCCTTCGATATCGCCCGTCATTCAACTCACTATCCTTATCAATCGTAATGAATCCATATTTGTCAGTATTCCAACAAGTTGAGCACAAATTTCTCAATTGTGTGTATGGCATATCAGTATTCACATGATCATCATAGATATGCTTCAAATTCATCACATCTTGACGAAATAGAATGAGAAAATTTGTATTGTCATGCACCAGATGTTTTGGTATTCGAGCATAAGTCTGACAAAGATAGAAACAATCTACATTTTGATGTCGCCCCATACAAAAAAATGCTCACATATTATCTTGTTTTTCACAAGCAACATCATCGAAAATTATGATGGAATTTGGTCGAGCATCTGCAGGTTTGACAACTTCTTCATGACCGTTGAATGGAAAATATCCAATAACTTCCACAGATTCTAATAGTTGTTTCAAAAACTGATATTTTGGTTGAATGAGCGATTTCGAATAAACGTATATATTCTCAAATCGCAATCCATTTGGATGTGTGATCAATGCAAATAGAGCATTCGTTTTATCACAATTAGATGGTCCACATAGAACTGCGCGCACACTATTGGGTAAGAGAGGACCATGTCGTCTTTTCCTCCCACGCTTCTTTTGTTGTATGATTTGATCAAAATTGATAACAGGCAGTTTCACACCTTGCTTCGTGAATTTCATTCTAACGACTGATGGTGCAACTATAAATATGTGGTATTTATATAGTTTCATTCAGTTATCACTCGACCATGGTTGGGTCTAAACGTAAGAGAGAGCAGAGCGGGAACGGTTTTGTGAACAGTATGATAAATAATCTACCCACAGAATTGCATATCCCCATTTACCATTACTGTGGTCCAGGAACAAAATTAGCTAAACGTATCGATCGTGGTGATCGTGGAGTAAATCCTCTCGACTCAGCTTATAAAGAACACGATATTGCCTACTCCCAAAGCAAAGATAATCTGCCTGCTAGATACGAAGCTGATAGTATTGTAACAGAGAAAGCTTGGGGTCGCGTCTTGGCAAAGGACGCTAGTCTTCCTGATAAAGCAGCAGCTTGGGGTGTGGCGAATATTATGAAAGCCAAACAAAAATTTGGTATGGGTGCAAATATTAAGAAAAAATCTCATAAAAGGAAGATCAAGAAGAAGACAGGGAAAGGATATAAAAAGAAACGAATTGGACGAGTCCATAAGAAAAAAACTGGAGGAGGGAGCAAGAAGAAGAGCAAGAAGAAAAAGATTTCATTGCGCCAGATTGTGGATGCCTCAAAAGCCTTCATGCTCCCGGGAGTCGACGCTGTGGAAACAGCATTGAAAGGTGTACGTGAGGCTGGCAGACATGCTGGAGGAAAAAAGAAAATCCAACATATTACGCGCATTCTCCCTATTTCCTCGAAAACTGGTGGACTATTACCAGCATTTCTGATCCCTCTTTTCGCTGGATTGAGCGCTACAGGTGCACTAGCTGGAGGTGTTGCAGGTATATCAAAAGCTATCAATGATTCTAAGGCTGCGAAGGAAGCTCTCGAAGAGAGTAAGCGTCACAATCGCAGCATGGAAGGCATTGCTCTAGGCGAGGATTTATATTTGAAACCCTACAAGCAAAGCTTGGGACTCCATTTGAAGCCAAAAAACTTCTAAAACTACCAGACCGAGCTCTCACTGATACCGACATCAGGAAGTTCGCAAAAGCTATGGAAATCCCTCATTTCCGCGGTGTCTACATGAGAAACGATATGCCGAAGAGTGGACCAAGGAAGGATGAATCGGCTTTGGTGAATCTTGATAGTAGCGATGGACCAGGCACTCATTGGGTTGCATACCGGAAGAAGAATACAAAAGTTCTTTATTTCGATAGCTTCGGCAACCTACGTCCACCTCAAGATTTAGTAGATTATCTCGGTGGTGGTAATATAGTGAAATATAATTATGAAAATCATCAGGACTATGATACAGTTATTTGTGGTCATTTGTGTTTGAAATTCCTCGCTGAAAAATTGGTATAAAATGTGTAACCATTCTTAGTGTTACATCTGTGTAGTGTTGACCATCATGGCTGATTCATTTACATTAACTTTAACAAGTACGACATCTATACTGGAAGCCCACTATTTTCCACCGATTGAGTTATCACCGTTAAAAACCTATAGTGTGGGGCTTGTAGCGTTTTTAACCTACAATTCGATTCCCAACATTGACGACGGATATAATAA